AGTTAGAAGGTCATACTATTTACGTCTGTGAACGTTTAGCGAACATAACTTCCGCAGATATCATATGAAAATACATGAGAACAATGATCTGGAAAAAGGATAAATGTATCAGACCTATGTGAAGTGTTGGAAGTGATCCAGAAACTATGCTTCAAAGAAAATATCTTGTATACCTAAGCCATGAAAATACGACGCTAGGCTTTTATCGGGTTGGCGCCTAGGCTGCCTCAGGCATACCGCATTGATATTATAACCCAATGAATTTACCCAGGAACTAGCAAACCAGAACCTTACCTTGGTGTGTAATTTAGGATTAAGATATGTATTTATAAAGCATAAGGTCACAATAGATAGGAAAATGGAGATGTGAGAACCATAAGAATTCAAAGTGAAAATTAAATATTGGAAACTATAGGCCTAGACAGCAGGGCTGTGGAGTCGGAGTCGAGGAGTCGGAGGAAATTTCGGCTTGTGGAGTCGGAGTCGGTAAAATTGTCCAGACTCCGACTCCGACTGAAGCTATTCTGTTCCTAAGAACAAATATATGAACTCAGGCATATTCATTGCAGTGATTCCACTGATCCCACTAATTTTCTTAAATTATTAAAAGAATTTATTTCCATTTTATAAGCATTATTATGAATTTATTGTAGCAGGCACAGTATAGCACTATAATTTTGGACGATAGTCTCTTCTTTACCATTTGAAATTTTGAATTATATCAAATTTTGTTTCGTTGAAAACTGCACAGAGGCTCTCAGCTACAAAACAATTAGCTACAACCTGTTTTTGGTGAGATTAAGGCAAATTTAATTTAATAACTTAATCATGTAAGGTTTATCCATTTTCCTTAATAAGGTATTCATTTCTTTAATGTACATAAATATATAACTTTACTTTAAAAGGAATTGTAGGATCATCATTTAGATCCACATCAGATTATGAGCTTAAACAAAATTCATATGCTGAGATCGAACTTTTAGATATACATGTAAATGGTGTTTTCTAGTTAATATCTTGAATTCTTAATAAATTTATTTTTCTTTTGATTGAAACTTTGAAAGTCAAGCCTATCATCTTTTTGTAGTTCTTAAATATCGTCCAGATCATTAATAAAGCTGTAGCAGTATAGCCACGGTGTTTTACTTTTTACCTATGCAGGTTACAACATACAAATTACAATTAGGATGGTAGAAATAGTTGTTACAAATAGGCCAAGGAGTCGGAGTCGGAAGCATAAAAATTTGAGGAGTCGGAGTCGAAGGTTTTGTCTTCGACTCCACAGCCCTGCTAGACAGAGAGGCGAGCGGGAGTCAGGACATCGCCCTTAGTGATGCCTCGACCTTTCCCAACACAGGTCAGTGCCCTTCATCATGCTTTATTCAGCCCTAAAAAGACTTATCTAGCAGTTTGTACATCTTAAAACCTTGCCTGATGCTATAAAGTGAAGTCATAGTGTACTAGTGTGTGGTGACAAAAGCCCCTCAAGCATTATTCTTAGTGATGCCTCGACTTCTCCCAACACAGGACGCATTCTGAGCGCCTCTTGGGCATCAGCCATGACCACACTGTGAAGGCCACACCATGTGGGGGGGGGGGGGCATCTGCTCACAGTGGTCCTGCACCTCTACTGTGAATCTGTAGATATCCTACATATCACCAGCCAGGATAAGAGAAAATCACTGTATACTTGAGAAGTTTCACTGTCGCTACGTGGAGCGACCTATAATACCAGGCGTGGAACCAGTACTGGTATGATTACCTGGGCAGTATCCCATCTGCTCATCTAGAAAAGTGTAATGAAAATAATAGTTGTTCTTCTGATGAAGCCAACTCTTTTTGTAAGGTAACAGGTGATGTTATACTCTAACAGGTGGTGCAGTCTGATGTGTTTGGTGTTATAAGTTAGCAGGAATGACCAAGGTAAGGAGGTCAATGATTGTTATGAGGAATTAGTATGTTAATGACACGCAATTAATGTATGACGTCTGTTGTTGAGCAGTGTAACTAAAATCATAGTTGTTCTTCTGAGGATGGCCAACTCTTCTGGTATTTTGACAGAATGCAATATGTTTTAAAAAGAATAAATTAGTTAAGACATGTTATTGTTTCACCCTTCTTCCCCTTATCGATTTGGTCAATGAAAAACCCAACCCAATGCCTAGTTCACTCTGCCCGCTACCTAACAAGCTACATACTGCCCAGAGGGGGTTTGGTGGCAGCAACCTTTAAAATTAAGACTATAGTTAAGTTATTCCCCTTAGAATTAGTGACCCCAGAATCTGGCAGTATGATGGTGTTAATTAATGACCCTACAAATACAAGTGAGGTCAAGTCAAACCCAAAGGAGTTTTACAGCTATGCAGAGTCAAAATTAAAAATGCGAGTAGGAGTATCGGACTTGAGGCTTGAAGATGGTAGTTATGCAGATTCTGACCAGGACAAAGCTGAGGCATTGAAGTTTCTTTTCCTCGGTGTTCACAAGCGAGGATGCGATCAATCTTCCTGAATTTGAGGACAGATTGTTTGACACAGCACTGACCCACATTGTATTCACAGAAGAGGGTATTAGAAATAAACTGTCAAAGCTAAAGAGTCCTGGCCCTGACATGGTGCATCCCAGAGTGCTAAGAGAATTGTACAACGAGCTTGCTGAGCCCCTGAAGATCCTGTTCTATAAATGCCTGGATGAGCAAAAGGTCCCGTGACTGGAAAATGGCTTATGTGTGTCCTATCTTCAAGAAGGGTGATCGTCACTCCACAATTAACTATAGACCGGTGAGCCTGACCAGCATAGTATGTAAAATATTTGAGAGCATCATAAAAGATGCCATGATGGAACATCTACTATGAAACAACCTTGTGAAGGATTGCCAACACGGTTTTATGCCGGGGCGCTCCTGCTTAACACAATTACTCAAGGTACTGGATGTTTAGACCCAATTTCTGGAACAGTTTTAATATCGACAATATATACCTAGATTTTGCCAAGGCTTTTGACAGTGTACCCCCATGAAACGCTGAAAATTAAACTGGAAAGGTACGGAATTCGGGGAAATGTCCTAGCGTGGATGGAAGATTTTTTACATGACCGCAAGCAGTGTGTGGTGATTAATGGCACGAAATCATCATCCGTACCTGTCACAAGCGGGGTACCACAGGGCAGTGTATTGGGCTCGTTGTTGTTTGTTTGCTTCATAAATGACATGCCTGATGCTGTACATTACTTCATACAAATATTTGTGGAAGATGCCAAGTTATTTCGGAAAATTAAGAACCAGGCAGACTATGAAGAGCTGCAGAAGGATCTCTGTGTGCTTCACGAATGGTCGAAGAAATGGCTGCTAAGATTCAATGTCACGAAGTATAAAAGGCTGCACCTGGGACATACCAACGGTAAGGAGTCGTATCACATGTCCCATCAGGGCGAAGAAAGTGCATTAATTGACACTGAATGTGAAAAGGACTTACGTGTGCATGTTGACAACAGGCTGAAGTTCTCGGGCCATTGCGAGAAGGTGAATCAGGCAAATAAATTATTAGGTCTTATAAGAAGGTCGTTCAGACATCTAGACGGTCTGTCCCTCGTAATGATATTCAAGAGAGAGGTGCTTCCCCGTCTGGAGTATTGTCACCCTGTCTGGTCCCCAAAGGAGGGTCACCAGACTAGTGCCTGCACTTTGGCACCTCAGCTACCCTGAGATTAGAGCGCCTGAAATTGCTTAGCTTATACTAGAGAAGGGCAAGGGGGGACCTAATTGAGGTGCATAAACATCTCAAAAGGCACTACTCAGTCGAGTGCCCTTACCTGGAGCTGGCGGACGCTGGCCCCACAAGGGGTCACAGCTCAAGGTTGAAGAAGCTGCAAGCCCAGAAAACTGTGAGGGGTATCCTTTTCAGAGTGAGAGTTGTGAACTCTTGGAACAATCTGCCAGTGTTGTGACGGCACCGAGTGTGAGCTCTTTCAAGACTATAATAATTATGTATGTTTTGAAGTATTTTCTGGTTATACAGTGGGGTATGCTATAACAAACGGATCCTACTACGAATATTCCTATAACGAACGGTTTTACCTATAAAATTGAGAATGCTATAACGAACGCAACTCCTACAACGAACGCGGATGAATACCGGACTATTTCACCTAGCGCATGAATATTGTTGTACCGCGACCCACAACAAGAGCGTCAGGCGCCATCTTTGTCTCATTGTGTAGCCAGTGCACCACTGTTATTGTTGAAATTTCGTCTTTTGATGTGGAAATTCGCGTTATTTGTATAACTATTTTGTTATACAAGTATACAATTGTAACAATGAGTCGTCCAAAGCGAGTGAGAAAGCTAATAACCCTTGAAACTAACAAAGAAATTATAAAGAAACGTGAGAATGGAAGAAGCATTGCGAAACTTAGTGATGAATATTGGATGGCTAAATCGACTATATGTACGATTTTGAAGAATAAAGAGGAGTTAAAAACTGTGCAAGTGGCTAAGGGAATCTTTAGACTTAGCAAAGCAAGGTGTAATGTGATTGAAGAGATGGAAAATTTACTCTTAGTGTGGATAAAGGAGAAAGAAATGGCAGGTGGTAACATTAGTGAAGCTATAATTTGTGAGAAGACTAAACAATTGTTTGAGGACCTTAAAGCCAAGACTCCCAGTGGAAGTGATAGTGATGTGCCAGTGTTTAGGGGTACCTGCATGCTGAATAACACTAAGGTAAGAAAAAGTACCGTATTTTTTACATTTTCCACAGAATTTTTTCAGTGTTAAGCAGTTGTATTTGGGGGCCTGGAACGGATTAATCCTATAACGAACGAATGCTATAACGAACGAGATTCTGGAACCAATTACGTTCGTTATAGCATACCCCACTGTAGTTGCACTTTGAAGTCGTTTAAGTGCTTTTACAGAAACTTATCAAACCAATTAGATATAGAGCACATTATATACTGTACTTCTGAGACTGTATACAATTCTTAGGTAAAAAAAAAATAAACATTTTCATTACCAGTTTTTTATTCTGTTTACTTACAACCAAATACTGTACTGGTTCAGATTAAGAATTTTCTTATTGACAGTGAGTGAAAAATGACACCCCTAATCAAACTCAACAACTATAACTATTATTTACATTTCTAGCTCGATATAAACACTTGACTCTTACATGACACTTGATCTACAGACAATCACACCCCAAACCAAGTTGGAACACCATGTCTGTGTTTATGTCTCCTGGTGTTGCTGTTCCATTCATCCTGGAGAACATCAAGCTGTTTCAATTCTTCATTTTCCTTTTCTTGTTTACTTTCTGGGAAGAGAGTTGGGAACTCAAACTTCTCTGTCCTGGGCTATGAAAGAAAATAATTACAGTATTTTAAAACTTTTTGGTTAATATTTGATTAGCATGTACAGTATATGAGCCGCTCCGCATTACAAGGGGGTGAAGCACCAAATTTAAAAAGCGGAGAAAAAATACATTTAAAGTTTTTCCAAGTTCGAACAAACATAACTTTGTTGTTTTTTAAATTAGAGGGTTCATTTTTGTTATCACGCAGCTCAATCCCTCTCCTAGCGAACTATGAAAGCTGGAAATTAGTACTGTGAATATTTATTATTTTATAGCGAGTTGAATGAGAATAACTACCAGTCATGTATGGTTGTTTGATCTTCAAACCAACAATAATCGCATTTTTCTGCAAAATTTTCTTAGTATTGTGGGCTAATACTGTAAAACAAGTTAATGATCACCAAAAACAGCACTTGTCTTACACCCCCCCCTGCCCCCCCCCCAAAAAAAAAATAATTAAAAACTCATTTGCCTATCAGTACTGTATTCATCTTTCTGTCCCTATTAATTATTAGCCAAAGATTTATAATTTTGTTTTATCATAATAGTGTGTAATAATAAGGAAACACCACGACACACTTCCCCTCCCCCCCAACGAAATTAACATACAAATAAAAAGGCGGAGAAAGTTTGCATAATCTCGGGTAAAAACAGTATTATGATAACAGTACAGTATTACAATCTTACTTTGTTTAGTTCTTTTGTTATATTATCCCTGATGATCGTAATAAGTTAAGGCTACATAAATCCTGAGGAATGCGTATAACTTTAATGGCCTCGTCATAATCAATCACATACTGTTCAAAGCCTTTCTCTGCCCTCTCTAAAAATCGATCCTCTCACTCTGAACGGGATGTGACCACCTTTACTTACTGAGCACACGCCAGATACGTAGCTCTAGGCCTGATGTGAAATGACACCCTATTTTTGAAGGACTTTCAACTATATTTCTAGTTTGCTTAGAGGGTTACATCCAATGCCAACATGTAGAGGAAGGGTGAAAATAGTGATATCCATCAAAAATGCATTTTGCCTGGGGTGTCACTTTACCCCCTTGTACTGCCACCTCATATACAGTACTGTATTTTGCACATACAGTACAGGTGAAGTACAGTACAGTATACTATTTTACATATTGACAATATATAATGCAGTGCAGTGTTGATTTAAAGAAAATAATCTTGAAATACACCAAGAGAACTAAAATTTTATGGGTGAAATGGCACCATGGGGTGACTTCTCTTCCATCCCAATGCCTTCTCTTCTTCCTGCTCCTCATTAACCGAGGACCACTGTGTATATATATATATATATATATATATATATATATATATATATATATATATATATATATATATATATATATATATATATATATATATATATATATATATATATATATACACAGTGGCAAACCATTGTTTCAATGGGTTTTGGGTAATTGGTTCAGCTCACGAAATTGCCTAAGTTCAACAAAAGGTGAAAAGTACACTTACTTTGGGGGTGTGTGCAGTATGTAGAGGCTCCTGGATGAGTATTGATGATGGGAATTAGAATGAGGTGGAGGCAGAAGAGAAGGCATTGGGATGGAGAAGTCACCCCATGGCGCCATTTCACCCATAAAATTTTAGCTCTCTTGGTGTAATTCAAGATTATTTTCTTTAAATCAACACTGCACTGCATTATATATTGTCAATATGTAAAATATATTTCAAAATGACCAATAATTTGCTTGGAAACACAGAAAAAAAGCATTTAGTTGGAGAGTCTCAAGCAAGATGTTACCTCCACTGAAAACAGAGAGAGACTAACGCCTGTCTGGTGTGTTAACAGGCTGGATGGCACGCCAGAAACTAGTTTCTTTACCTTCAATTATGTTCAATAATTGTTAAAATGACTAAAAAGTTAATATTAAACTTTTAAAATTATTGAATAGTATAAACTTCTTGATATTTACTAAAATAGTAAGGAATTTAAGCCCTAAAACCGATTACTGTATTGGCGGACTAATACTACAGCTGGTGGACCGCCAAATGCAAAAGCAACATGTGAAATTAAAACAAGTAAAACTGGGTGTCGAGGATTTAACTTTCGTTAACTTGAGAGTTAAGAATCTTATGGAAGTAAATGGTTGGCTTGAAATCTCTTGTTAACGAGGACCACTGTATATATATATATATATATATATATATATATATATATATATATATATATATATATATATATATATATATATATATATATATATATCTCTCTACCTGATCAACTCTTTCTGCGGTCCCATTCTGCGTTTCCCACGTTTACGGTGCCTGCAGAACCCAGGATATAAAACAAGGTGGTGTGCCCCTTTACATGGGTGAAGTATGAATTTTTTATTTGGCTCTTAAAAATTATACAAATTATCCGGCCAGAATATAATTTACATTGCTGGAATTCTTACAATTTGATGATCATTTTGAATATAAACATCATAGATTTTGCATTAGACATACAAATTTTAGATATAATGCTTACTCTTGAGTAAATATGTTATCTTTTGTGCAGAATATATGACATTTATATTCAAAATATTCCTGGTCTTACAAGGAATCCAGCAATGTCAATTATATTATCCTAACTTTAGTCTGATTTATTATTTATTACTAAAAAGGTAAACAGTCTGGTATTCCCACACATTCATCTGGTAGGGAGGCTTGGTGGGGGTCTATCTGTATATATATATATATATATATATATATACACACACACAGTCAACCCTCACTTTACGCGGTTAATGTAACCCACAGGGTACCGCGGAAAGTGAGAAACGCGTAAAGTGAATAACATAACATATGGGATTAAATGAAATAGAGACCAGCTGACCCCCAAACTCCACTTTTTCCAACACAATACCTATGTTCTAGTAAAAATAACATCTTAATTTTATGATGGTACATGCACACAATTAATACTTAAGAGAAATAGAGAAATACAGTCGCCAAGTTAATGTCCATTCAAATAATGGACTCAACTCCCTCCCCCTCTTCTCACACTACACTGCTGGCTCTTCCCTCTGAGAAATTTTGGGGGGAAAACCAGGTATAGTAATAAATAATACCTCAAACTAAAGTTAGGATAATATAATTGACATTGCTGGATTCCTTGTAAGACCAGGAATATTTTGAATACAAATGTCATATATTTTGCACAAAAGATAACATATTTACTCAGAGTAAACATTATATCTAAAATTTGTATGTCTAATGCAAAATCTATGATGTTTATATTCAAAATGATCATCAAATTGTAAGAATTCCAGCAATGTAAATTATATTCTGGCCATGTAATTTGTATGAATTTTATGAGCTAAAACAAATATCTTCAGTTAATAAAAAAAAAAAAAATATATTCTTCACACCATGGTGCCAGGTGGTCGGTCGCCGGTCCCTCCCTCCCTCCCACCCCCCACCAACCCTCCCTACCAGACTGGGAATACCAGACTGTTTACCTTTTTAGTAATAAATGATAAATCAGACTGAATTTAAGATAATATAATTGACATTGCCGGATTCCTTGTAAGACCAGGAATATTTTGAATATAAATGTTATATATTTTGCACAAAAGATAACATATTTACTCAGAGTAAACATTATATCTAAAATTTGTATGTCTAATGCAAAATCTATGATGTTTATATTCAATATGATCATCAAATTGTAAGAATTCCAGCAATGTAAATTATACTCTGGCCGGATAATTTGTATGAATTTTATGAGCTAAATAAAAAAATTATACTTCACCCGTGTAAAGGGGTACACCCACTGCGGAATGTGAGCATCCTGGGTTCTGGCAGGGCACCGTGTAAACGAGGAATGTGGGACCGCGTAAAGTGAGGGTTGACTGTATATATATATATATATATACACACAGTCATGCACCGGTTAACATCCAACCGAACAATGTCCAATCGCATATACATCCGTGCCCCCCTCCCCCCCCGCCCCCTCCGAAAAAAAACTTCCGTGACGCCTGCTGGACCACCACTCCACGACCCCCTGACGGAGACACGATGATCCTCCCCATACTGGTCAGATATTATGTGTTAAAGGAATATGCTTCCTTCCTTAGGCCTCCAGGTGTAAAGTTAACCTACATCTATTGAGGATAAAATCTTTCACCTACAAATTGACAATAACACATTTGCTGTAATTAGACATATCTAGTTGCCTCAACAATTGCAACCCCAGTTGCAATTTCAAATTCTGTGTTATTACTAAGGAATAATGAAGTCGCTGGTGCACTCTAAGATTAAGAAAGAAAACGGAGGACTTAGGTGCCCTCAGCGAGAGAAAACGGACTCCTATGATGGGGGACACAAGCACTCACACGTGCCACTCATACTGACAGACTTGACACTCACTTGACAAGTTTTACCAACCATTAGTTGTGTACGTTATCTTGTGAATTTAGTCAATATTGTACAGTACAAGTACACTGCAATACAGTGGTCCCTCGGTTAACAATGGACCTAAGTGCAAACCTGTACTGTACATGTACTAAAATTGTTATGTCTATTGCAAATATAGATTGTTTATACAGATATTCAAATAAATCACTATCTTACAAGAATCCCAGCAATGTAAGTTATATTCACCCAGGTCGTTTGGGTGGCAAATTATGAGAAGAGCTTAGTCACTCTTAAGGAATGATAAATAAACACACAGGCCTTCAGCGCCAACTGTCAAATCATATCTCAAATAAATAAACAAACACAAGACACTCTGTCACCTCACCTCCCGCTTCCCCCCTGTTCCCCCCACCTCTTCCCACACTCGCTGGCTCCCTCCCTCCTTGTGTTCCCAGACAAAAGATTGGTGATAACTTTATGCTTTAAGGTGTTTATTTTATATAATATCTCAGACTAAAGTTAGGATAATATAATTTGCATTGCTGAAATCCTTGCAAGACAGAGATTAATTTGAATATATTTTGCTCGAGATAAAAATTGTAGTACATTAGTG